GTTCCAATATTACTTAAAAAGACATGATCTATTTTTCTACCATTTATTTTAGATGATGCTGTCTTTGTAACCCACAATGTGATCATTTCTAGATAAATTTCTATGTAAATCTGGAATTTTTCATTCTTTCACCCTCTCAGTAATAATCTGTGAGTATCATTGAAATCCTGTTCGTCTATGATATAGTTCTGGTCTTGAGGGGTTTTCTTCCCCAGATTTGGAAAAATTTATGTAGACTGTAAGGTGGCGTACTGAAATTGCTCACTGTTGTTATATTAGAATCCACATTAACATTAGTCAATACCTGGAATTTTCAAACTAAGTGCAGAAATGTTTACAATTGTTCTCTCCATATAAATTTCTTTTTACTAATATTTATGTTTCATTTTGTCTCCTCTTACCTACACCTGATTAAAGTCTGTTTTATGGTATATGGGAATTAGTATCCCCACTTGTGGGGATTTGATTGCCAAAATTAATACTGTTTCTGGATGTCATTGTAAGTAAAGTGTGTTTCTTGAGCCCAAGTGATGACTCTTACTTTGAACCCACTCTTCTAGATTCTTTTAGTTGGTGACATGAGACTATAATAATACTGTGAGAGGATTTTTTCACCCAGTATAATTTGGCTTGTATTTTGGTTGTTGGAATCACGGATAGTTATTTCCTCCTTTACTTATAATATTGGCCTCATTTTGTTTTATGTGTTGCCAATGGTGGATTTCTTCTGGGACACTGTGTGCTCATCAGTTCTTTAAATTTTTATTCTGACTTCTGTTCCATGAATGATAATGTCTTTCTCCCCTGTGTATCCTGTTTGTTTTGGTAAATTCTCAAGTGATGTCTTTCTTTCCTTGAATTGGTTCAGTTCCTCACATGCCCTTCTTCATTAATTTTAATATGTACATTTTCTGCAGGTGATTTTAGTTAATATATTCACTTTCAGTTCTTTACATGTACTTTCATATTATTTCATGCTGTTCTGTCTCTGGTATTTATTGACAAGAGATCTGATGCTGTGGCAAATTATTTGCCTATGTAATGAGCTGCTACTTTTCCCTAACAGGATTACTGATTTTTTGTTCACTATTTTTTTCATGTTGCCTATGATTTGGAAATCAGAGTTCTGATAATATTTATTTCTCTTTGCTAAATGATGTTCTTGTGACTGTATATCCACTTATTTCTGTATTCATATATTTTCTACTCTATTTATTGAATAATTTTTCTCACTTTAGTTTTTATTTCAGCCCCTTATTTTGCTTCACATATTTTTATTTTTGTTCATTTGTATGTTTCTCAATGATACCAGAAATTTTATTCATGCTAGTTACATGTTCTTCATATGTGTACAGATGTGTGATTGTCTCAACCTTATTCTCCATATTGAAATGCAGTCTTTTATTTTTAAACTGGAGATCTCCATTGTTAGAAAACATCAGAGAGTTCATAATGCAGAGAAACCATACAAATATGAAACATGTGATAAATCCTTTATTCACATGTCAAGTTTTAGGAGACACCAGACAATGCATAATGAAGAGACAGCCTACAAATGTGAGGAGTGTGACAAGTCCTTTAGTCAAATGGCAGAAATTAGATGACATAAAAGAATTCATACTGGAGAGAGACCCTACAAATGAGAAGAATGTGAACAGTTCTTTAAGGAAAAATCAAGACTTAGAGTACATGAACGAAAACATACTGGAGAAAAACCCTAAAGTGGTGAAAAATGTGACAATGCCTGTAGGCAAATATCAATATTAAAATTACATCAGCAAAATCATATTGGAGAGTAACCCTACAAATTTGTAGAATGTAATATATCCTTTATTCACATGTAAAGTCTTAGGAGACATCAGCAATGTATACTCTGGAGACACCCTACAAATATGAAGAGTGTGACAAGTCCTTTAGTCAAATGGCAGATCTTAAAGTACATAAAATAATTCATACTGAAGAGAAACCTTACAAATGTGGAGAATGTGAAGAGTCCTTTAGTAGAATGGGAGATCTTTGCATACATAAAAGAATTCATACTGGAAAGAATCTCTACAAATGCAAAGAATATGACAAGTCCTTTAGGCCAATGGCACATTTAGGCTACATGAGACAATTCATACTGGAGGAAAAACCCTATAAATGTGAAAAATGTGAGATATCCTTCAAGGAAATGTCAAGACTTACAGTACATAAGCAAAAACATACTGCAGAGAAACCCTACAAAAGTGAAAAATATGACAAATCCTTTACACGGTTGTCAAGTTTTCAATTACATCAGTGAATGCATATTGATGAGAAACCGTACAGTTGTGAAAAATGTGATACGGCCTTTAGGCAAATATCAGAATTAACATTGCATCAGTGAAATCACATTGGGGAGAAATCCCACAAATGTGAAGAATATGACAAATCATTTAAGAAAATATCAAGGCCTATATTGC